TTCAGCTAGTGTAAACATGCAGGATGCTATCACAGCGAATGTGAGGCTGAGACTGAAGTGTTACCCTTTGTTTCCGCTGAGAGACGTGCCTCATGACTCATTTCCCCGCAGGTCGTACATGGTTTGACATCTGAGATTCAGATCGAGTTCTAGGTAAAAAAAAAATTTTACTGGTTGGTTCGACTTTTAAGAAATTCGAGTTCTAATGAGTTTGAGAACTGAGGTACCACTGTATGTCTACATTAGGAATTGACTAGAAATTAAATTTTGGCTGCGGACTTTTGGGTCCCTTATGACCCAGTCTTTTTTTTGTAGAGCAAATTGAGGGGATCCCATCATAACTTTTGCCGAACGATACGTTCTACCAATCGGGGGGGCCTTGTGATAAATTTTTTGCTGGCCCATATTCCCATCGGCCCAGAGGGAAATTGTCCACCCGGTATGCCAGATAGCCATTCCAGCCTTGGACGTATATATATTTTATCAACGAGGTCTGATTCACAGCACTTAGATAGGCCAGTATTTAATGTAAACTAATTGGTGTTGGAATTTCTGGTTTATTGGTTAAAACAACCGCAAAACTATTTATTGTCGAGGGTAATTGTAAAAAAAAATCATCAAGGCATATGTATTTCCATTAAGGAAATGGTTGCACTCTTACAAGTCTTTAACAAAAACTACACTGCATGCTTCACAGGACTGGAAAATCCTTTTGCATATATAAGGCCAAATGCACAATGGCCATATTCCCTGGTTTAAGGAGCACAAAAGCTGATTGAGCTGGTGAGGCATCTTTCATCCCTTTTTCCTACATCCAGATGATTAGGATTGACTTAATGTTTGGAGAAAGACATAAGATGCTTTCACCCCAGTGTGTCTTTTGGTATTGGCAGCCAATTATTAGGGTCTTGATATTAATGTATTGTTAGGTGTTTTCCACCCTGATAAATACAGTATATTTACTTTAGTTGTCTTTATTCCAAAAAGGTGTCTGGGAATATGGGAAAAATATCCATAACCAATTAAAAATTCTCAGCCTAGCTTTAACTTGTAAACAACCCAATAAGCAGTTTGTACTTCACTTTCTAAAGTTTCAAAGGCTTTACTGATGATTGGTTTGATAACAGACAGGAAAAATACACAGATAACAGAGTTACTGAGACGGTGATTAGCTTTTGCATGGCACTGATTTCCCAGGCCAGGCTGATATGATGGATCGCTAGATTTTTCTTGAAAGCTTTTTTTTTTCCTTTTACTGTAGTAGCTTAAATCTCCTTTACTTGTCCTAAAAATATAAATGGCAATGGAGACTTTCTAAAACACATGCCCTGGAGATCACTTCTCGGCTCTACAAACAGAAGTTAAATTTCAAAACGCATATAAAATAGTCTTCATGGGAAATTGCGGTGGAATCTCAGTTATCAGCAACAAAAGAACCTAAAATCTTTGTTGTGGGTCTTCAGAGCGCAGTTAATTAGCATTTCTGAATGAAACTCACCTAATGCCTAAGAACAGGTGATCATTTAGTCAATATGAAACCCAATATGTTTGTTTTTTTGTCCTGTTCACATAATTTTTTTTGTCCACATTTTTAGCTATGAAAGCCTGTATTACAGAAAGAACAAGTATGTGTAACATTAGCCCCTCTCTGTTAATGAAAGATGATGTGATCAGTTTATAGCATCGCTGCGGCGTTGGGAAGGGCCACCAGGGATCAGCTTTTAGAAGAAGCCAAGGGGAGATCTGAAAGGACTGAAGAAGGCATTCAATTCTCCATAAGTAACTACATATTTCTTCATTCCCAAGATGTCTTTGATGGTTAATAGCTAAGCCATTATCACTTAAATAGTGTTCATGGTCCTTGCTATATAATTCCAATTTCCTTTTTACTAGCATAATGGATTAAATACCTCAGTGAGCAAGAGGTAATGAAGAATAATTTAAAAACCATGGTATTAAGGCCTTAAAATTTGTAAGTAGCTGAAATTGTGATGACAGTAAGGTAAGAAAGATAATAAATAATAAATGACCATCATGTAATATTAGCTTTGTTTTATATTGTTGTGAGTAGCTCATTGATAAGTTTTTCTAAACTCCAGTTCTGTCATAATTGTGATTTTTAATTGTCTTTTCCATTAGTCAGTTGGCGATCAATGAAACTAATACAAAGCAACAGTATAATGTTTTATGAAACTCTTTTAAGATGATGTGTCCAGTGCACATACATCATAGCAACTAGTTCAAAATGTTTTTTTTTTTAACAATAAACAATTAACACCTCTACTGACAATACTGCTGTCTTGCATGCATGTGCAGTGCCCAGTCGACATTGCAGAAAATGAATGTGTGTCTGTATAGACTTAAGAAAAACTTCTCATAAGAGTGCAATTCACTGAAAACCGTAGAACTCCCAAGTGCCTTGGCAGACATGATTTTGTATGGTATTGAATGGTGCATATTTACAAACCCAGCCAGCATTTGTACTCCGTCCAGGAGTTTGACTCAAGGCCTTGAGTGAAGAGACATCTTTTATATAAACAGATTCACAATTTAAATGTAATTATTCTATTTGTTTCAGCTTTTCCCATTAATTCTGGTTGCAGTGGAAGATGATTTCCGATGCGTCCTTGACCTTGAAATCAGTAAAGGAGTCTGTTGTCTGTTTTTCTTTAGTATTTATGTGCATTTAGAAAAGGATCTACCCTCAGTCTGAATAGCCCTATTGTGAAAATGATTGAACCAGCCTTTCACCATTTCCTCTATTATCTGAGGATGAGCCAGCACCCTTTGTTGTCTTTTGTTCCTAGTCATCCAAGTATATACACTATATCTGAATTTTATGAATGAATAGTGTTTATGTTTGCTGCTGTCATTGACAGTGTACGTCTTCTAACATATCAATGTAGACCATTTCAGATGCATGGTCACCTAAATGTCAACTTCCGTTATAGTTCACCAAATTTCATTACAGATTTAATTACTATATTAATATGCTTATGGAAATGAAAAGCAGCAAAATATGCCCAGGTAAATGATGCACACGCACCTGGCAGTTCACATCAGACCAGTTCACCTTCTTCCATGGCTCCATGGTCCAGTTCTGACGCCCACATGCCCAGAGTAGGTGTTTTTCAGCAATATGTGCTGCAGTAGCTCTCCTGTGGGATCGGACCAGACAGACTCACCTTCACTCCCCATGGGCATCAGTGAGCCTTGGGTGCCCATGACCCCATCGCTGGTTCACCGGTTGGCCTTTTTTGGACCACTTTTAGTAGGTACTGAGCACTACATATCGGGAACACCCCATTAGACCTGCTCTTTTCGAGATACTCTGACCCAGTGAAATATTCATCATGACTTATGACATATTTAAGTTTTATGATTTAGCAAGCAAAATCTGCAATTAACACAGACATTTTGCAATTTGTGATCACTCGTGTCATTTGTTGGTCAAGGCTGCAGCAAGGTCTTGCATTTATTGCATAAACAGAAAACAAAGGTATTCTCATAGGTTGCATCCTCACTGGATGCTGCGATTCTCGATTGAAGGTCTGTTGCCACGGAAACCACAACTTTTCAAGAGAGAAACACTTGAGAGTACTAAGGGGGAAGGGAGAAATGATGTTTTTTTTTTTTTTTTAAACATGAAGCACTTCCATGGATCTCTCCATTTGATTCTGACCCATCCTCCCAGTCTTGCCCTGATTTAGTAACTCCTCGTGCTTTATTATCTGTGTGCTTCACAGCAGCCTCTGAGGAACACCGCGTGTTCCTCCAGCACACGCAAAGTGCCGTCTCCTCACATTAGACATCACACTGCTCTGCACAGGAGAGCTGGCGCAGGTTTGTGCAGAGTAGAGCATCTTTCTGGGCTGGAAAACAGGCACCATGCAGGCACCTGAAAGAGGACCCAAATTATGCACAATTAGGGCACTTTACCTAAGCCACTAGGAACCTTGTTTTTTTTTTAATTATCTTTTTTACATTTTTTTCCTGTTTGCTCATTTCTGAAATTGTGCTTTGGTGAAGGACACTAACGTCAATGAATGTTTATTAATTTTTTAAAATTTGATTTATATTTAAAATAATATTTTGTATTTAAAAAAACCACACACTTTCATTTATCAACACAGCCTACTGTAGGGCCCTGTTTGGCATCCCGTTTGACAGTGAACTTATTGAGTTTTCAATTCAATATTGTTTTACCACTTCTATCGTGTTTTCAGGGGCTTTTGAGGTTACCATAGTCATTTCTGTTTATTTAGGGCTGGAACCCCATTATAATTTGTTGAAAATACATAGCGACTATGTTCAACCCTAGGAAAACAATTCATTGCTGATACATTAATACATTATAGAACAAATAAAGCAGTGGATTGCTATTATTAAAATTATCATTCAGGTGCAACGACGTGAAACAGGATAACTGTATTTTCCCTGGTAGACAATGAATAACAAGCTTGACTTTGTATATGGCTCAAAAAAATAAATGTCAAAATTTACATAAAATTATTATAAGAAACTATAACTGTTTAAGGGAAAGGCTGAGCAAGTTACAGTTGCAAAGTAAAATAGTAAAACAGCATATGCTGTAGATAGCTATAGATAGAAGCCAGATTACATTGTTAGTGACTGTCGCTTTTGCATTCCGTCATCACTCATCCATCAAGAAGTTCAACAATAATTACAATTCATTTCTAAATGCAGTGAGGCAGCATTATATTCTACGCATTTGTATATGTGCATAAAACGCATAGCCAAAAGAACTGTTAATAAGACTTCATAATCTACACATGAATTATAGACCAAAATTTCCATGCAATTTTCATTTTATGAAATGAATTCTTTGTTGAAGAAGCAGCAAAAATGACAAGAATGTTTCTATGTGCTTGTTATTTAATCATATATTCTACACTTCTATACTTTCTGCTTTGTGCAGAATACCTTCAGCACTGTACCTTAAATTTCACAGTTATTACCAACATTGTATCTCTTCACAGATCCTGGACCCACAGAGGAGTGCCTTGCCAAAGGTAAGACAGATGTTCATTCTGTCACCATGGAGTTCTCTTGGCTGTGCACCAGGCAAATTTGGATATGCAGTTTAGCATTAACCTTAACCCCCCCCCATTTGAGAGACTCCATCATTGTTTCATGGGGGCAATACCAGTCACTGCAGACAAATCAGTTTGGCAGTATGAGTTTTTCATTTTCCTTAGTATTAATACAGGTGGCATGAGATTGCATGGGGAGGAACTGTAACAGTTCATTTATCAATATAAATGTCCGACGTAATACTGCTGACCAATGTTATTCCCAGACTGTGTTAGAGTAATACAAGGCCAATAAATGCCATTAATTTCGCCTCACTTATGCAAAGGCTTAATGGCACCCTGTAAATGCTGTTGCTCTATACTTTGGTATACTGTAATTACAATTATTACTTACTCAAAGAATGCTCCATTAAATCTTACTGGATGCCTAGCATCTCTTGTAATGCTATTCAAAAAAAGTGGATCTGGATGGGATTTAAAAGTGTAAAGTATGGTCACTGTGACAACAGCATATTAAAAATTATTTATTATTATAATAAATCAATAATAAATAAAACAAATCAATAATAATAATAATAATCATGATAAATGTGTTTACTGCAGGTGCTGCAGATTTACTTAATCTCCAAACAATGATATAAGAATGTGGACAAAAACCCCATGGGAGTAAAGACCTCAGATTTGACACCTATAGTGAAGCACAGTAGAGTTTCTTGGGATGTAATTAGCACCTAAACTATAGAGCCAAAATACAAGACAACTGGCAGAATGTTGTCCCTGTTCCCCTAAAATCTGAATGGACAGCAGTGATGATGTTTCTGTGTTCTCAGTGTAAATCACCCGCTAGTGCAAGCGAGAAATGACCTGGCAGCCCAACCGGGATAATTAACTGGCTGCAGTGGTGTAGATATTTTTGGATGGACACTTTGGTTTGGGGAAACTCATATCAGTGGTCTGTACCACACAAGCTTAGTGTAATTTATAGTCTCCTACTTTGATAGCGAGATGCCCCTTTTTCCTACGCAGTATAACGGAAGAGAATCAAGTATGAAGGAACTGTGATGTGCACATATGCCCTAACCCGAATGAGCAGATTTACAGCCCCGATTATCGTAGTAGTGAAGGACCTGGGCCGGCCATGTGTGTTAAGTCTAATTGTGTGTTGAAACGTTTGACGGCAATAAGTGAAATGCGGCGGTGAGTGACCTTGAACCGGGGCCAAGTGACACAATGTCCAGTGCAAGACGTAGAGAAGAGCAGAGGGGAATTCAGTGCTGTAGGTGTAGTACATTCTAGTACATTTAGCACAGCGTAGAAGTATTTAAGATGTAGTAAAATATAATACTGGGCCTTGGATACCTAACAGGAAAAGTATTATGGTTTACTAAAAATGTACTGCAATGTATCAAAAATATTTAAGAAAAATATTGAAATGGAGCAGATACAGAAATTCTCAAAAGTGTTAATGGGCAGTTACAAATATAAATCAATTCTTGCAATTCTAAAGTTTAATGGAATTTAATTTGTATTATTATAATGTATAATTGAAGTTAAAGGAACATATAAACATTTACAGGACATGTTTATTAGTGAAACATTTTAAAAGAGGTGCTGGCACATAAAATAAAATAAAATTTAATTTAATAAATCCAGCACAGCCTTGTAGTAGACATGTGGCTGGAAGGGACCTGGATGGTTTACCTGTTAGATGTTGAAGAAGATACAAGTTACTGTCCATAACATATCTGTGTTTATGCTACTCACTATGGATTCAGCCAGGATTCTTACCTGGCTGCAATATCAAAATACTCCACGCTGTCCACAGCAAAGGGGACCTTGGTTTCTGAAGTATTCTAAAGTTTTTTTTAGCCATGGTATATGGGTCCCCTTTAACAGCTGAGAAACTTGGTTTGAATTATTATTTTGCTGTAATATGGTTAGATTATAATTTGCCTGTGTTTCATAAATAAATAAATATGTAACTGAAAATGGATTGTATCACAGGCTGGGTGAGTACAGCTGCAGACTGCCAATAAGACAACAGATACAGCCATTAATTGATGTTGTTCTTGCTAAATTAACAGTCATTACTTTCCATTGGGTGCACAATTCAATCTTCATTAAAGTAAACAAAATGTAATCTTGTTGTAAACTGATGCATACTGAATCTTAGCTTTAAGATGTAAATGCATTACGCTCACAGAATCTATGGAAAAACAGAGGTAATCCAACAATGCTAGCAAGTTAGGCACTCTGACTGCTCGCTTAATCCGCTGTAAATTTGGGTCTCCAGTCTAGAACGATCCCAAAAAATGTATTTGAATATGCAGCAAGGTAGCCGTGTGTCTCTTTAGGGTATTTTCTGGACAAGAAGCGCAGTGCTGTTCAAATCTGTATCTGTGAGACCAATAATGGCCAAATTGTCTGAAGTTTGGTGGCGGAAGCGTGCGTGAGCAGACTTTGTTCAGGAGACGAGGGCTGGGTGAGCTGCACCTTGTCACACTTCATGTACCAGATCTTTCACCATTGGTTATGAGAAGACTTTTAAATGTTCAAGAATGAATGAATGAGTGAAATTGTAAATTAAGAGTCTAACAGCAATATGCTGAGTGGTAGCACCTAAAGGAAAATGTATTGCCTTGAACTTCAGCTAAAGCATTGTCTCCACTTTGGTAATATGATGTCATATATTAGTTTGGCCTCTTTTCACCGACATAAAGCAACAGACAAATGTGAGCTATATCGTTTAAGTCTAGCAAACGTGACAGGCATTAGGGCTACATTTGTTTTCTGTTTAATTAAATATGAAACTTAACTTGAAACCGATACATATTGAGGTTAGCTGTGAATTTTAAGCCTTCTGTAATGCATATAAATCAAAGTGCCTTAGAATCACATTAGCTTCGGCTTAAGCAGTTTATAGCTCTGCATAGCTGCCCCACCATACAGCTGGATATCTTACTGAAGCAATTCCGGCTTATAATTCTGCTGAAAGGAACAGTGCGGCAGAGTGTAGCCTGAAATTTGAACTAGAAAAATTGTGGCTGCCACATTTGTTCCTTGGATGGTGACCTCTGTGTTCTGCTAGTCACCACCAAGAAAATTCAGCTATTGAGTAGAATCCACTGAAATGCAATATGGTAATTTATGCACTCAGATCTTGCTTCACCAAGAAAGTTGCCTTCATTTTCATTTCAGTTGTATTTACTGGTCTCACTCTGACCACTTGTCAAACGTTAAATTTTACATTTAGATATTGTTTTTATATGAAGATGGTGGCACAGATTTCATAGAACATTGAAGCTCTTGCAGTTGCATACAGGCCGTGTAATTATTCTGCGGCTAAGAATTTAAATGGGTTATGTTTACCAGCTCTTGATACAATGACACACTAATGAGCTGGAAACCTTTTTAACTGTGGGATCGTCTAAGTTAAGTGAATTGTTTGTTCTTGCCCAAGCCCACATTTTTATTTAGGTTTTTCTCTCACCGTCTGTCCCAGATTTATTAAAATAAAGCAGGTTACTGAGAAACTGTAAAAGGGTTTGACCCACGCGTCTGTGAAGATTATTTCCTCTTTTGATGATTCCCAGATAGAGCCTATCCAATGTAGAGTTTGTCATTTGGAGAAAATAAGTAATAATTCTGTGAATAATTCTTGGGGGTTTTACCTGAAGTTTTGCAGAAGGTAGTTAGCTGGTTGACTCTGAATTATTGCTTAATTTTAAGAGTGTTACAGTAATTTTGTACTTCTGCTAAGCAATGAAACAGTCGGCAAATATGAAATTAATAGCTAAGTGGCAACTAGTATTCCTATCAAAAACAAGATCTAAAAGCTTCTTTTAGCCATTTGGTCTCAGTCTCAAAAGTTGACGTGATCATCTTAATACCAGGAAATACATGAATATATGTGGGGGCAGTGAGTGGCTCAGTGGGCCAAGTCTCTGTGCCTGTGATTACCAGTTTGTCTGTGCCTGTGATTACCAGTTTGTCTGTGCCTGTGATTACCAGTTTGTCTGTGCCTGTGATTACCAGTTTGTCTGTGCCTGTGATTATCAGTTTGAGCCCCGGCCTCAGCAGACCAGTCACGTGTCTGTGGGTTCTTCAGCAGGGCCCTTAGCCCCCAGATCCAGTGGCACTGCATGTTAGCTGACCCTGTGCTGTGACCCCCACGCTATGGAGAGCATGATGGGGTTGGGAAAGAGAAGCATTCCAATGTACCTGTACTTGTGCAAATGGCAGATAAAGCATGTTCGTTTGTTGTTACCCAATCTACATTGCATCCGACCCCCACAGCTCCCCCTGCAGGTGGTGAGCCCACAGGACAGCCCATATTATCTCTTCAGGCTGTGCCCAATTGGGCCCCATGGGTGGAGGCCCAGCCACCAGGCACTTTCCTTCGAGTTCCTGCTCCAGGGCGAGGCCCCGGTCTCCCCAATCCAGGCAGGGTAACATGGTCCTGTGTATTTTCTGATATCATGTGGGTTTTCTGAATCACACTTAGTTTGGCCACTCACCTAGGATCAGTTTGCCTTGGGAGACCCTACCTGGGGCAATTGCCCCCGACAACATAGCTCCTAGGATCATGGAGACAAACAAAGCATTCCACCATGATAAGGTGGTGATTCATGGAGGGGCTCTCTGCTTAGACACCTGCCCCAGCGATCCGACCCCGGTTAAGCAGCAGAAAATGGATGGATGGATAGATGGATGGATGGATGATTGTTGTTAAATTTGAATATCAGGCTTAATATAAACACAATGAGCTTTGGATATGGTGGCATTTCCATGATTGTCCTGGAAGGGTTATTATGTGCTGGGTTCGGCAAAGAGAGACTTATTTGCCTGGGTTGGGCAATTCTGGGAAAAGCATGAGGAGGGGGTCTGCTGGTGAGAACGGAGTAAGCAGAGTTACCTAACTTTCCATTCAATCCATCTCACAATAGAAGGTTGACAGGAAAATCCATGTTAAGGCTACA